GAGTCATTCACGACTGAACAACAACTAAAATTGCCTTATGTTTCCCAGAACCAAGTTGCCAGGTCATGTTAGGCATCTCCATGCCTCTTACCCCTTTCTAGCTTCCCTTTAAATGGTTTTTTTTTTTGGTCTGCCTATTGGAATGTAAATTCCTTAAGGTCACAGACTCCTTTGCTTGTATTTGTATCTCAAGTATTTACTACTGTGCCTGGTACATAGAAAGCACTTAAATGTATTATTTATCTATTACAGATTCCCTGACTTATTGCTACTTTCAAATTTAATGATTTTTTTCAATCCACAATCATTTGTTCTCTCTCTCTCCTGAAAAACAACAACTATCCTGAAACAAATAAGCATAGTCAGATAAAAAAACAAATTCACACATTGACCATGTATTTCAATCTGTATCTTGAGGCCATCAATTCTCTCTCAGGATGGTATCCTTTTATTCCTTTGGGATCATTCTGACCTATTCTTTAATTCTGTTTCAGGAATAAGAAAAGTCCACCTCTATTCCACTGGGATCCTCCCAAGCACCTGTCTCATGGCCTTGCCTAGCACCTGCAGCTTTCTTCCAACCACTTTGAGTCACCCAATACTGATTAGTACTGGCTTAAGTTTCAAAGGTTTTTCCTCCTAAATCATCTCATTAGGGGGGGGGAAAAACCCACCCACCCAACCTCCTAGGAGCAGACAGCTGGGTATAGGGAAAAATGGGAGGGGGTGAAGTAAGTAATTCTTCCCCCCCCATGCCTTTCTCTCTCTAACTCCCCTAAGTTCTCAGGAGCCTGTGAGCCACTCAATAACCACTGGGAAATGAGCTGGAGAGGCTGCTCAGTGGCTGGTGGACCCAGGACAATAGACACTAATTGGTTCCATTATAGATAGCTTCAGCAGAAAGACGTGGGAATGAATGGACATGAATATGAATGGACCGATGCTATCCTTTCACCACTTAGAGGTGGTCCTTCTTAGAAAAAAGATGGATAGAAAGTTCAAACGAAGGAAGCTTGCACAGGCCTGACAGTTCTGAGGCCAAAAAGGATCTGACTTTAGGGCTGTCTCATTACAGACTTTGTTAATTACTCCAAATACCTTACATTACAGCCAATCAAAGGGCCACTTCCTCCACCCCTGGCAGGTAAAAGTTTGTCCAAAATAAATAAGAAAGAATACTGATTATATTTACTTTTCTATCCACACCTTCTATCTCTCCATTCCCCTACCCCACAACACACAATACACACACATACACACTAGAGGAGAGCAAATTAGTTTAAGGAAATGTGCCAAACAAATCAAAGAGAGCCAAGATCCTTTAATCTTAGGTTTTCAATTTACTCTATCATTGGAGTTTGTGTATTGTTTTGTCTGTTGCTTGTAGCAATCCTTTTCTGGTTTTTAGAGAGAAAACTTGAAAGATGTTATTAGTATTATCTTCAAAACAATGGTCTGCTACCAATTCTATAATTGGTATAATTTGCTACCAATTTTATAATTCTGTAATCATTGACTCTCCCTGGTTAGGGAGGAGAGGGTGGTATAGACAAAGATGTCATTAGCCATTGAAATCTACAGCTAATAATAATTTTAAAGACGTTTCAGCCAATAGTTTTAGCCAGTTACAAAATGTTTTACCAGAGCTACAAAAACCGTAGGAAGAAGACTGGTTGGGGTTTTAGCACCCTTGCCCCGACTCAACCTTCTGATGCTTTTATAACACATAAAAATAGTCAATAAATGGACAGGCTGCCAGGGTGAGGATGAGAAGCCCGGAGCTAGAGAATCCTCAGGCTAGGACTATGCTCTGGAATAATCAAGAGTTGGTAACGGCAGCAGGAACTTGGACTATAGTCATGATTTAAGATCATAAACTTAAAGAATGTTAGAGCTGGGAGTGACCCCAAAGATTGAGCATCATAACCAGAGTCATAACTAGGGTGGGGTGACCAGTACTTTATACAGGAAGCTATAATTTAGAGGGTGCCAAAATGTAAAAGACTGCATAATTGTAAAATCTGTTACATTTTGGACAGCATCTTCTCTCTTTCGGCAACTTAGAAATAAGTGAGCTTACCACTTGGTTAGCAAGGATAATTAAGCTGGAAACTCCCAGATGATGACCTTTCCATAATCCTTATTTCCATCCCAATGGCGACATACCAGGTAAGTGGCTCCCTGTTCCCACCCTCTTCCCTCTGCCCCACTCAGCCATATAAACCTCCCCAGAAGCCTCTTGTCTCAGAGGGGTCTCCCTCTGCCCTTCCGCTTTGTCTTGTAGATTTCCACATCATAAATTACAAAGTTGATCTAAAGGCACATTTTGTGCTGCATACTTTGGGTGTTAAAATTGTTACCTACAGGTCTGCTTCTAATCTAACTCATTCATTTTACAGATAGGGAAACACAGACCACAGACAACAAATGGCTTTCTCTCGGTCACGCTCACATAAAAGCAGTCAGCTCTCAAATTTCCTCATCCAGTGAAGGGAAGCACATTCTTTCAAATCTCATGGTGAGGAAGGGGAGGCATTTCCCCTGAGCACTATGGAGTATCAGAGCCACTGTGCAGAGGCCTGGAGCCCCAACTCCTACCTACCATGTGAGTGGTCTTCCCGAGTATGTAGGGTTCTCCACTTTGAGGTTCCCTGAAGCCCCAGATTACTTCCCAAAACAATCATAGAAACATGTGGCCAAGGTCATAAAGGCAATGTGCCTCTTTGATTTAGAAAACTGGGGAGAGGGCTGGGGGGGCAGGACTTACAGGTTTGGCCATGCCTAGTCTCACCTATAGTCACTGACCAAATGGCTATTTTTTTTTTCACCACCTCTACTCCTCCTAAAGAGCAGCTAGGTGGCATGGTGGATAGAGTGGGATGCCCAGAGTCAGGAAGATTCATCTTTCTGAGTTCAAATCTGGCCTCAGACACTGACCCTGGGCAAATCACTTAACCCTGTTTACCTGGGTTTCTTCATCTATAAAATGAGCTGGAGAAGGAAATGGCAAACCACTTCCATATCTCTGCCAAGAAAACCCCAAATGGGGTCACAAAGAGTCAGACATGACTGAAAATTACTGAACAACAAAACTCCCCCTAAAAGTTTGATTACTGGTATAATGGACTGTTTTCAATGTAACTGGTAATATAATTTATTACTGACCACAGCCTTTGTAACTTTATTTCATTGAGTTTGGGTTTTTTTTTTTATATGAGGTACATTTAAAAATGCTTCAGAAGCGGAGATCTTTCCCAGTTATTTCTGGGCACATCTTCAGAAGCTCCCTTCACCCCTGGCTCCCTCTCCCCCCTCCCATACAGAATGATCAGTATACATATCATCTAAGCAACTCCTAGACTTCAGCAAGAAATACAAAAGAAAACTTCTACCCTTTGGAAATCTGTTTATTTTCTAGTTTAAAAAAAAGGCAAAAAGGGTCTCTGAGAAATTTCCAGCTGGAAGCCCAGAGTTTAAACATATCACCTCCATCTTTATAAGTGATGGTACACTTTGTTCTCTGTCCTTAGTCTTTATATTAGAGGTCAAGGCCATTTAAAAAAAATGTTTTCTTAGAATCAGAGAGTACAAGGAACCTTAGAGGTTATGTAATTCAAGACTTTCATTTAAAGATAGGGAAACTGAAGCCAGGAAGGATCAGTGGTTTTCCCAAGGCTATGCAGGTAGCTTGTGAGAGAGTTAGTGCCAGAATTCAGGTCCACTGACTTCCAGAATACTACTCACTTCATTTCTTTTTTTATTACGAACTTGACAGACATTAACAAACATTGACACTTGCATATTCAAAGACAAACAGAAAAGAGGATTGTATGGGTAATTCTGGCCTTTTTCATATATGTAGTTTCTCTTTTTCAAAGTCTATGTTAAAGTTAACATGGTGGTATCCACATTTCCCTTCTGAACTCTGGTCCTCTCTTCTACGTATTTTAAATTTTTCATTAACATTGTTTTCCTTGTTTTTTCCTTTTCATTTCAATCACTGTGCACTCATTCTCCCTAAAATAAAAGCCTCCTCTTGTAATAAGTATTGTCAAGTCAAACAAAATGCCTCAAAATGTGTATCTCACTCTGCATTACTGCCAAGAAGTGGGCAGCATACTTTACCACCAGTTTTTGGAGCTGGGACTAGTCAGTGTTTTTTTCTCCTATATTAGAATCCCTCTAATTGAATATGCAGATGAAACATGTTGAAAAAAATGCACAAGGTCACAGAATACATTATACCTGATGTACTACATCTTATTGTACTTAACCTATGATTCAGTTCAGTCACTGATTCAAAAGCCATTTTTACTATGCATAAGGCATTGTGCTAAGCGTTACAGCTGCAAAGACAAAAAACAAACAAAAAAAACAATCCCTTGTCCTCGAGGAGCATGCATTCTACTAAGGGAATTAATAAACGTTATTTCTGCACCTACTGTGTGTTAGGCACTATACTCAGCATGAGGGATACAACAAAACACTGCACAGATAAACACAAAGCATATACAAAGTAACAAAGGGCAACTTTAAAAGGGTGAGAAGGAGTGAGGGATTGATCCTCTTCCCCAAAGTCTTCCTGTTCTAGAGTAGCAGGTTTTAACCTTTTTTTATGATATGACCCCTTTGGTGGTCTGGCAAAGGAGGAAGAACTTGAGCTGTACTGTGAAGGACTCTTCAAATTCCCTGCCTTCAAGAAGCTTACATTCTACTGGAGTGGCTGTAGCTTCACTATCTACACCTTCAGTGTGGTTACCCTTACTCATGTGACTAACCTAAGGACAGAAGTCTGGCTGTAAGGGAAGGGGAGGGGTGGACGGAAAAGTAAAAGTCAATAAAGAATTCATTTGGGGACTTAGCATTTAACCATACGGCAGTGGACTCAATAGCTCATTTTTTCTCCTCTGTAAAATGGGGATGCAGGGCCGCTGGAAGGAGAGCATTTTGTAACGCTATCAGACGTACGGAAATGAGAGCCACTGTTGTGCTTTCCTTACCCGACGGTGCCATCTGCCAGCCAACCGGTGGTGCACGTGGCAAAGGAACATTCCAGCACAGCTCGCCGCAGCTCCGCAGCAGTAGCGAGGTGAGCACCAGAGGCCGCACAGGAGGCCTGAGCCACAGACAGATCCAGGCCCTGAGAGCCATTCCAGGATTCCAGCACAAAGAGTTTCCCTGCAGGAGAACACACAGACACAAGCAGACCCATCAGTCTGAGCCAGAGGAGCACCTGTCCTGGTCTATTTCTCAGGGCCAGGTACCTGGCAAGCCATCCTATCCCCCAAGGTCTTCCCATTCTAGAACAGCAGTTTTTATTCTTTTTTTGCGTTTTGGGGCCCCTTTGGTAGCCTAGCAAAGCCTATGTAGAAGCCTAACAAACCCTTTGAAGAAGAATGCTTTTAAATGCCTAAAATAAGATACATAGGATTACAAAGGAAACCAATTATATGAATACATTTTTTTAAAGTTCCTTGGTCCCAAGTTTAGACTCCTAATTCTAAGACCCCAAAGCCCTTTAACCAGATCATTCCCATGTTATGCATCATTTCATCACATCACAGTATCCTATCCTAGATTTAGCCCCTAGAAATTGTCCACCCACACATACAAAAATATTTATAGCAGCTCTTTTTGTGGTGGCAAAAAATGGGAAATTGAAGGGATGCCCATCAATTGGGGAATAGCTGAACAAGTTGTGGTACATGAATGTGATGGAATATTGTTGTGCTATAAGAAATGATGAGCAGGCAGATTTCAGAAAAACCTGGAAAGACTTGCATGAACTGATGCTGAGTGAAGTGAGCACAACCAAGAGAACATTGTACACAGTAACAGCAACATTGTGCAACGAATAACTATGATAGACTTAGCTTTTTTCAGCAATACAATGATCCAAGGCAGTTTCAAAAGACTCGTGATGGAAAATGTTATCCACATCCAGAGAAAGAACTATGGAGTCTGAATGCAGACTGAAGCATGTCATTTTCACTTTTTTTTTGTTTTTTTTCTTTCTCATGGTTTTTCCCTTTTGTTCTGATTCTTCTTTCACAACACGACTAATGTGGAAATATGTTTAGTATGATTGCACATGTATAACCTGTATCAGATTGCTTGCTGTCTTGAGGAGGGAAGGAGAGAGAAAAATTTGGAGCTCAAAATTTTACCAAAAATGAATGTTGAAAATTTTTACATGTAATTAGAAAAAAATATTATTAAGGAAAAAAACATCCAGTATAGATGAGGAAACTGAAGAAAACAGAGGTGAAGTAACATACCCAGTGTCGTACAACTAGTAAGTATCTGAGACTGGATTTGAACTCAGGTCTTCCTGACTCCAACTGGTGGACATTTCAAATCCATTTTGGATGTGAACAACTTGAGAGACAAACTGTAGGATCAGAGGGCAAAGGGAAGGTAGAGAATAGTTTGCTGATTCTTAATCTAAAGATTCAAACTATTTCACCTACCTCCCAAGGTCGTTGTGAGAATCAAATGAGATAATAATTGTAAAGTACTTAGAACCGTGCCTGTCACAAAGTAAGTGCTATATAAATGTTAGCTATCATCATCATCATCGTCTCATTTGAGCATCTCCACAACCCTAGGAGATAGGTATCCCTATTTTGTGGATGAAAAAATAGAGACCCAGAGAAGTCACATGCTGGCCCAGGACCACACAGCTAGTAAATATTAGAGGTGGGATATGAGCTCAAAGCCTACCAATTTTAGATTTAGTCCCCTTTCTGCACTATACTGCACCACCTCTAAAATTGATTTATTAGTTAGAACTAGTCCACTGACAACTTTTATTGAACCATGCTTTCTTAGTCTAAATTTGGTTATTGTATGTTTTGGTAAATACAAAAAAAATTTTTTAAATTAAAAAATTATATAAATTCCAATTTTTGGTTATATAAACTGGCAAAATTTACCCAGAGACTCAGGGTAACCTGTTTCCTTCTGAGGCTTTTAAACACACTGCTGTGCTCCACATCTGATATCCACTCCCTGCCTCCCTGCACTCCACTTGCAGCAAGGAAGATAAAATGTCCTCTAATCTGGGATGGAGTTAACTAAAAAGGCTTTGGGAATTGGCTAAGAGTAATGACAATTCCTCCCCTGGTTAACCTTAGGCAGGATCTAAAACTTGAATTCAGAAAGACAACTTTGAAAAAAATGTTGTGAATCATTTCAAAGACAACTTTGAAAAATGTTCTAAGTCAACTTAGAACTCAGTCAGTCAAACTCTCCAGTGAGACTTTACTGAATATATAAATACAAATATTTCTCTGTAGTCATATATAGACATATTCTCTCTCTGTCTCTTTCTCCATCCCTCTGTCTCCCCCTCTGTCTGTCTGTCTCTGTCTCTTCTACTACCAAATTTTTTATCCCCTAAGGCTTTAGAGACAACTGAAATGGTCCTAAAATTAGAATTTGTCTTCTTGATGGACCAGCTTCTAGCCAAATGATGAAGTCAGTCCCTAAATGGAGCTTATGTCAGTTAGGCTGGGGTTTGGATTGAGTGGTTTGTGGGCAAATAAAGATGACCTATAACACTGTTTTTGCCCTATTCAAACTTAAAAAAAAACACCTTCCCTTCTTTTCTTTCCTTGGTCTCTCTGTTTTATTTCAGAGTTTGGTTGGTTTAGTTTCTGTTTGGAAATGTTTGCTGCTATCCTCATGCCGTGATTCCGGTTTTTCACTTTAAGAAGCTTGGACCGTTAGTACTTTGTTCATACAACATGTCAGCACCATTTCTGAAACTGGTTTAATTTGAACATGCATACACATATACATGTATGTGTGTGTATATACACACACATATATGTATATACACATGGCAAGAATACGACTAAATACACACCTAGGGAAGCAACATATTTGACATAGCTTTCAGAAATCCTGTGGCATAGTTTTCTCTGCTAAAATCTTCCCAGAAGGGCAACTGGAATTCCTCATTCCATGCCTGGAGTCTGATAAAATGCTGAGAAACCTGGGCAAATAGCCTCTCTCCTTCCCATTCCCAGAAGCCAGCTCACTTTTGGTCAAGTCCCACTGTCTGGACCTATATCAACCCAGGGTTTGTCTCAAAACCTCCTGACCATGTCAGCCAAACGTACTCCAGAGTGAGGCAAAACTCCTTTTTTTCCCCTTTTTTTGGTAGGCAATGGGGTTAAGTGACTTGCCCAGGGTCACACACGGCTAGTAAGTGTCAAGTGCCTGAGGTCAGATTTGAACTCAGGTCCTCCTGACTCCAGGGCCGGGGCTCTATCCACTGCACCACCCAGCTGCTCCCCAGAATTCCGAAGTTGGTATTTTCACCAATTTCATTAATGTTCCTCCGGTTGTATCTCCCTCTCCAAGTGCTTTTATCTAGGTTGCATACTGGAGAGAACACCAGAGCTAGATCCATCCTGAAGACCTGAATTCAAATCCAGCTTCAGACACTTGTTGACTGTGTGACCCTAAGCAAGTCACTTTACCTCTGTCTGCCCCAGTGCCTCAAATGTGAAATGAGAATAATGCCACCTACCTCACAGGACTGTTGGGGGCCCAATATATGCCTGTAATATAATAGACACTTAACAATTGCTTGTTCCCTTCTCTCTTTCCTCTTTTCTTCACCCTGCTCTGCTGGGCAGCTCCTTCAAATAGAACAGCGAATGCTGCCATGAGCTACCCAGGGCAAAAGTAGTTCAGAGAACCAGAGGATTTTAGCCCAGGACACAGATTCATCACACACAGATTCTTGGACTAGACCTGTGTTTTCATTGCTATAGGGAAGTCCTCATAAGGAAACTGCTCTCCCCCTAGCTGCTCTATACCTCACAGTTTCTGAGAATTGCCTGGGACATGAACTGGTTAAGTGACTTGTCCAGGGTCACACAGCTAGTTCATCTTAGGTAGGATGTGAACCAAGATCTTTCTAAGGTCATGGCTGGCTCTCTACTTACTACACTGCTGCCTATATGTATACATGTGCATGTATGTAACCCTCCTTGTGAAGCAGAGGAGTCCCAGAATATACCACAACAGACATCTTAGAAAACAATAACACCAACACAAAACTACGGAGCCTATGCATATGTATAGGTATGTACATATGGGAATATGTGTGTGCGTTACCAGTTTGCATTAGTAGATGGTGTTTCCACATTGGGGTTTCTCTTCCAGTAAAACCACCTGTCTACAATCCATCCTCCCCAAAGAAAATCGTGTGTGTGTGTGTGTGTGTGTGTGTGTGTGTGTGTGTTATGTAACAAATTAAAAAATCAGACTTTTAAAAAAAGTAAAATTTCTCTTTAATAGTTGGGGCCTTGGAATTCTTATCATCATTCCTGAATCAAAAGTATGTGTAACAAGCAAACAAAAGCTTCTGAAACACACAAATTCTAGAAGCTTCCAGTCTAGAATATTGGTTGGACTTGGCCAAGGGCTGGTTAGATGAACTGGGCTCATGCCCTGGCTGGGATACTTTTGGGTGTACCAACTTGACGTGCTCCTTCCTCCCTGGCAGTCCTCTGGAGCTCAGTACTCCTCTTACTGCCATATGAAGGCAAGACTCCTGTTGGATTTCCTTTGCTTGGCTTGAGTTATGGGCTTCTGAGGCACCAGGCTCCAGATATTCATCCCCATCAGTCTTATTCAGGGATTCATAAAGCGAAGTGGTAATCCGACAGGAATAAAAATAATATTGCCTCAAATTCATCAAAAGGATACAAAGGGCTACGCGGGCCAAGGCCCAGCTAAAATCCTCAGTCATGAAACGTTGCTTCCATAGGGTCCAAAGTAGGATGAGGCATGATCAGAAGCTGGGAGATCCACTTAGGAAAATGCCTTTGTGAAACTAACCCAGGGTTTCTCTGCTCCTTCCGTGTGGATGTGTGTGCTGTGTCTCTGGTTTCTCATCTATTAACCATTTTTGTACCCTGGACCCTTCTGACATTCTGGTGAAGCCCTTCTCAGAATAATGTTTTTAAATGAATAAAAATAAAATACAAAGGAAATCAATTATATTGAAATATAGTTATAAAAATATTTTTAAATGAAACTCACTGACTCCCTGAAATCTACATAGGGATCTCAGGTTAAGAGCCTTTGCCTTAGGTATTTAAAGCATTCATGAATCAGTAGATGAATAGAAATGATTGACTTTTACCTTCATTGCATGT